TTTCGCATCTTCAGATGATTTACGTCCCCAAACAACTGGCTTTACCTTCCGTTTCCTCTTCCCCCATTCTCTTTGAATCCCATTTCCTCTTCCCCTATTTTCTGTCCTTTAAAAGAACAAACCTGAGGCCGGTTCCTGGTCACAACTTCTCCTTCAGAGAAGTTGGGCCTACCCAATCCTCGCTTTTCTATACATGTGTCTGTGTGTGTTTGTTATTGGGTTTATTTCTAATCCGCAGCCTTCCCCACTCAGAAAAGCATGTTCAGCTGAGCAGGTCCCAGCAGAGTCCCAAACCCATCAGGTTGAAAAGCATGCTGGGCATATGTGCATGCATGCCTAAAATCCTGAGAGGAGACTAGAGGAGAACCGACTGGCATGGCCATTCCCCCCACAGGGGTGATTGCTCGTTCTCTCTGTCTCTCTGTCTCTCCGTCTCCGTCTGACGAGTGAATGTACTCTATAGCAAAAATAATTAGAAGTTAAAAAAATTAAAAAGCAAAGTCCTGGTGCATATTACAAGGATGAACCTTGAAAACATGATCCTAAGTGAAAGAAGTCAGTCACACGTTATAAGATTCCAGCTCTGCGAAGCATTCAAAATAGGTCAATCTTTTTGTCCTAAGGCAGACCTATGACAGAAAGCAATTGCAGCGTGGCCATCTCCCCTGGGGGGTGATTTCTCACTTTCTGTCTCTCTGTCTCTCTCTGTCTTTCTGGCAAGCGCACACACCCTGTAGCAAAAACCTCTCCAATTAAAATTTTTTTAAAAATTGTTACACAGCAAAGGACACTATGAAGAAAGTGAACAGACAACCCACAGTGGAAAAAAATTTCATAAGTCACGTTTGTGGTAAGGGACTTGTATCTAGACTCAACTCGATAATAAAAAGGCAATTTTAAAAATAATAAATAAATATATATAGTTTTAAATCACCATTATGACACAGTAGTTCCACTCCTAGATATGGAACTTGGGCACCACAATTCATGACTGCCAAAAAGTGGAAACAACCCAAGGTCCATCAGCTGATCAATGGATAAACAAAACGTGGTTGATCCATACAAGTATTGAAGTATTATTCAGCAATAAAAAGCAAAGAACTTAGGCCAGCAGGTGGCACGGCAGTTAAGGCATTGGATCCTACACGTGACTTCACGGTTCGAGTCCTGTGGAGTGTGGCAATCTGAGAAAACATGGTGTGACCACTAGACGCACACAGAAATGTGCTTCTGTGAACTACTTTAGCGATGGCTATTGAGCGCATTTACATATGAAAACACAATCTGTCTGTTGTTATCGGTTATTTTTTTTCTTTTTTTTTTTTTGTTATTGGTTATTTTCCTGTTGTTGTTGATACCCAGTCTGATACTGCAGGGCAGTATGAGGCTAAAGGAAACAACCTGTGTTTATCAGATTTACCCGCCAAAAGATCAGAGAAATTACATGGCGCCAAGTCGTTTTCGCATCTTCAGATGATTTACGTCCCCAAACAACTGGCTTTACCTTCCGTTTCCTCTTCCCCCATTCTCTTTGAATCCCATTTCCTCTTCCCCTATTTTCTGTCCTTTAAAAGAACAAACCTGAGGCCGGTTCCTGGTCACAACTTCTCCTTCAGAGAAGTTGGGCCTACCCAATCCTCGCTTTTCTATACATGTGTCTGTGTGTGTTTGTTATTGGGTTTATTTCTAATCCGCAGCCTTCCCCACTCAGAAAAGCATGTTCAGCTGAGCAGGTCCCAGCAGAGTCCCAAACCCATCAGGTTGAAAAGCATGCTGGGCATATGTGCATGCATGCCTAAAATCCTGAGAGGAGACTAGAGGAGAACCGACTGGCATGGCCATTCCCCCCACAGGGGTGATTGCTCGTTCTCTCTGTCTCTCTGTCTCTCCGTCTCCGTCTGACGAGTGAATGTACTCTATAGCAAAAATAATTAGAAGTTAAAAAAATTAAAAAGCAAAGTCCTGGTGCATATTACAAGGATGAACCTTGAAAACATGATCCTAAGTGAAAGAAGTCAGTCACACGTTATAAGATTCCAGCTCTGCGAAGCATTCAAAATAGGTCAATCTTTTTGTCCTAAGGCAGACCTATGACAGAAAGCAGATGAGTGGCTGCCTCGTGCTTAGTGCTGGAGGGTCAGGTAGGAATAGGGTATTGCTAACGGGTACTGAGGTACGTTGGGGGATAACTAAAATGTTCTAAAATTTATCGTGAGGATGGTTGCACAACTCTGAATATACTAAAAACCATTACATTGTACCCTTGAAATGGATGAGTTGTAAAAGATGTGAATTTTGGGAACCAGCAGTTAGTATAATGGCTATGTCACCGGACTCTCATGTAGTCGACCGCGGTTCGTGTCCCGGACCCGGTGGGTTAAAACTCACGCCGGGCGTGTGTGCGTGCGTGCCCAAGATCCCGAGAGGAGAATGGAGGAGAAGGGATTGCGGCGTGACCATCCCCCCTGGGGGGTGATTTCTCGCTTTCTGTCTCTATGTCTCTCTCTGTCTGTCTGGCGAGCGCACGCGCCCTACAGTGAAAATCTCTCCAAAAAAAAAAAATTAAAATAAATAAAAGATGTGAATTTTATCTTTATAAAGTTGCTTTTGGGACCAGCAGTTAGCATAATGGTAATGTCGCTGAACTCCCATGTAGTTGACTGCGGTTCGAGTCCTGGACCCGATGGCTTAAACTCACGCCGGGCGCGTGTGCGTGCGTGCCCAAGATCCCAAGAGGAGAATAGAGGAGAAGGGATTACGGCATGGCCATTCCCCCTGGGGGGTGATTTCTCGCTGTCTGTCTCTCTGTTTGGCGAGTACATGCGCCCTATAGCAAAAAGCTCTCCAAATAAATAAATAAATAAATAAAGCTGCTTTTCAAATCGTTTTAAAAGGGTAAGTCGGAGGACATGTGCTCCAAAGGGAAGCAGCAGTTTGAGGGGGTGATGGTTACTGAGGTGTATAAACGTGTCAAATTCCATATTGTAAAAATTTCTTCAATAAAGTTGATTTTAAAACATACCACCGCCAAGAGCAAAAGGCAGGTCTGAAGCTATTAGATGCACAGTGGCAAGCATCAAGACCACTGGGTGGCAGAGGGCAGATCCGTTCCAGCTCCAGGAGAAACTCAGAGGGACTCGGACGTTGACTGAGTCCCCTGTAGCCCTCCCCTTGGTTCTCTCAGTCATCTTAGAACACCTATCATTTCATCTCAGACCTCCTCCTCCTGACCTACCCTCCCTGCCCAGGCCAGCTACCAACTCCACTCCTCCAGCTGCTATCGCCCTGTAACTGGGGCCAGCTGGCAAGGGCAAGTCCCAGCCCTCCCTCAGCACCACCTGCTACTTCTGAACAGATAATGGTGGCAGGGGTAGAGCTGCTGCTCAGAGCAGAGATCAAGACCTCTCCACCTCCACCAGCGACAACTCGGTTTTCTCCCACAGCCAGAGCAGGTACTGTGAGGCAGGGAGTTGAGATGAGGAGCCAGTGACGCCAGGAGCCCATGTCTACATTTACCAAGCACTGCGGACTCCCACATCGCTGCCATGGGATAGATATTAGGATTCCAATTCTGCAGATCAGGCAACTGAAGCTCAATGTATCAGGAGCCACTGGTGTCATCCAGCTACTAAAAGTGGTGGAATCCAAACCCAGCTGGCCTTCCTTCCAAGCCTGCTGTGGAACATGGAGGAAGCAGATAAGGAGGGAGAAGGCGGCCAAACTCCACATCTACCCTTAGGTGGAGCTGGTTGGTAAAATGTTCTTCCCAGAAAAGGAAGATACCCATCAGACACCAGTCCCAGAGATTACGAGGGGCGACTCCCTGTCCTGGGGTGCAGTTGCACAGCCTGTGGCTGCTGTTATTGCTCCCAAGGACTGTTACAAGTCCCATTCCCTGTTCTGAGCCACTGACGCATGGCCAAGGAAACTGAGGTGGAAGACAGAGACTCTCCATAATTCTAGTCCTAGGGGAAATAATAGCTATTAACTTTGTGCAAATGGGTGACGAAAACCTGGGGCCCTAGGTCCAGAAAAGGAAACTTTGCAGGCCCTTTATAGTCAAAATCCTCTTGTCTTACTTAACCTTAAAATAATCCTGTTAAGGGACCAGCAGTTAATGTAATGGCTATGTTGCTGAACTCCCATGTAGCTGACCGCAGTTCACGTCCCGAACCTGGTGGCTTAAAACTCACGCCGGGCGCGTGTGCGTGCGTGCATTCCCGAGAGGAGATGGAGGAGAAGGGATTGCAGCATGGCCATCCCCCCTGGGGGGTTATTTCTCGCTTTCTGTCTCTCTGTCTCTCTCTGCCTTTCTGGCGAGCGCATGCACCCTATAGCAAAAACCTCTCCAAAAAATAATAAAATAAAGTAACCCTGTTAAGAAATTCCTCATCAAGCCCAATGTAGCACTTTTTTTTTTTCGAGAGGTTTTTGGTATAGGGTGTATGCACCTGCCAGAAAGACTGAGAGATAGAAAGCGAGGAATCACCCCCAAATGGGGATGGCCACGCAGCAATCCCTTCTCCTCCAGTCTCTCAGGATCCGGGGCATGAAAGCACACGCACCAGGCGTGAGCTTAAACCACCAGGTCCGGGACTCAAACCACGGTCAACTACATGGGAGTCCAGCCACATAGCCATTGCGCCATCTGCTGGTCCCCGATGCAGCACTTCTAAAAGGCTCCACCCGGCTCTAAACAGGAGACTCTCAGACGGTAGGGGCTCTGCAGTTTGTCCCATCACCAGTAGGGAATGCCCAGACCTGGCGGTCAGTGACTTCTGGGTTAGATAGATGAAGAGTGGAGAATGCCACCCATTTCCTCCCCACCCAACCTCCCCCCCCTGAAGTTTTAAGAGCCGTCCAACTCCCGTGCAGAGCTGTCTTTGGCAGCCCTGCTTTCTGTCCACCCAGCCACCTGTCCTTTTCCCACCTGTCCTCCTCTGGCTTCCATCTCCGCCTGTTCCCCCTCCCCAGCCCACCTGGCCCGTTCTCAGGCATACCTGGGCATATGCTGGAGTAGAAGCCCTCGTTCTTGAGCATGATCAGCAGAGAGCCCCAGCCCAGGAGCACGGCAGAGAAGAAGAGGTTCTCCAGCACCGCGGTGCAGGCCATCCACCAGCGCCTGCGGTACGCCTGTTGCAGCGTGGGGGCCATCGTGGCAGCCAGTCCTCCGAGAAACAGGGCGCTGCGTGAAGTGCCCCTCAGGGGCCCCTGGGAAGGGTCCTGCATCGAGATGCTTCCTGAGATCCCCCTCGGGCCAGCCCGCGAGGGGGGCTTCACGGAGGCCCCAGGGCGCCCGGGCCGCCCCAGCCGGTGCCGCCGCGCTGTCTCCGCGCGCACTGGCAGTGCCAGGGGCGCACGCGGCGTTGGGCTCCCGCCAGGCCACTATCACAGACAAGGAAGGTTCTGTCTGCGCGCGGCAGCTTCCTGGCGCGCTGCCGGGCTCTCTCACCCAGGCCTCGGTGCGCAGAGCCGGCTCTTGGGGGCCAGACCTGCACTTTCCCATGTCCCCGGAGGTCAGCAAGGGGCAGAGTCCGCGCACTGAATCACTGTGGGCCGATGTCCAGCCCCTGGAGCGAGGAAGGACCCCCAGAAACAGGCAGGAGGAAAGGGAAGTCTGAGGTTACCCCAAGACAGCCCTCTTCCCGTTGCCCTTCTGAAATAAGAAGCCCAAAGACCAACGGCCTCCCGCGTCGTCCACTCCTCCCCTCCGGGACCTGGCCGGAGAAAGCCCTCTCCCTTTGCACACCAGGCGACTCACGTCCTGCAGTCTCAGGGGCCAAGCCAACAGCTGCCACGTGGAGCGACACCCAGGGCGGGCCCTCCAGCGCCCCTCCGCCCGCGACCGCCTCGCTCGCCCGGCACTCGCTCGCAGGGCGCGGGGCACCACGCCGAGCGCGGGTGTGGTTGCCAGAGGGAGGAAAAGAGCCCCGGCTCCCCCCGCAGCTCTGCTAGTGCCACGGCGGGAGGGGACCGGGCGCGAGCGGCGCGGAGGCGGGGACCGGCCCGGAGGGTGAGACCGAGGAGAACCGAGAGGAGAGGGGCAGAAAGGAAAGGCCGAGAGCGAGAAGAGGAGAGCCCGAGTCACTTCCCCCCCACCCCCCCGGACTCAGTGCCCTGGTCTGTGCCCCGGGCCTTCGGGGTGCAGGCGGAGGTCCGTCCCAACTCCGACCAGAGCCGTGCTCCAAACAGAGCAAGTGCATCAGGAGGAGGCTGGAGAGGAGGAGACGGGGCGGAGGGGTCGAAGGAAAGAGGAATCGCTCTTGGGGAGGACAGAGTGCCGCGGCCCCCGCGGGCTCAGGTAACGGGCTTTGCTGGGAGAGCGGGGGTGTCAGCCGGAGCAGGCCGGGGTGGCTCAGTCGACGCGCAGCCGGGAACCCCTACCCGCACCCGCTGCTCACCTCCGGTT